ACCAGTGAATCTCAGACTTGAGTGTAAGTCAGAATAATGTGGAGACTTGTACACACATAGATGGCTGGATCTTCTCCCTAGAGTTCCTGATTTAGCAGGTCTGGGATAAGGCTTGGGAATTTGCAAGTTCCTAGGAGGTGCTGAAGCTGCTGGTCTGGGGCCTGCACTGTGAGAACTGCTGATCTGTACTACTTTCCTTAGCAGATAAACCTGTGGTTCCTACCAAATAAATGTAACAATAGCATTGAACATGGAAGGGTTGTGAACTATAGGTCATCAAGGTAAATCTTGACAGTGGAGTTCACGAATTTAGAAATCATGCTATTACATGAAATTGGAAGGCAGCTCCAAAAACTATGGTTTATGCATTAGATGAAGATTTGGTTTACATTTGCTCTAAATGCAGTGATTTTTCTCAACTAACAGAGATGACCAAGATGAAAAGAAACAGTCTCAAAAGAAATAATAAAGATTATAGCGATGAAACTTATTAGTCTATAACGTGCATGCCCACCCATCTTTATTTGATAGGTTTCCAATTGCTCTTGTCAAACTTTCTGAGGTAAATTTTATATAAATTTCTAGAGGCCATGTTAAAAAAAAAGCTATTATACACAACTCTTTTCACTTAGTGCCACAAAATATTTAATGCCTTACCTAAATAATTTGTGTTGGAGCAGCACAAAACTGGGGCGCATTAATGCTGTACACATTTCTGCAGATGGGAAAAAGACTAATAAAATAAATCATTATGGCCTGAAATTTAATAGATGTCTTGTATTTAATCTTCTAGGTTTACTAGACATGACAGAAGTCTTCAGCGACATTTTTAGATCATCACTTTTCAGCACTAATCAGTGCCTGCCCCGCATGTCTGGTGCCAATGTTTAATTGTAGCCAAGAGAATCTGAGAAATGAAAGAATCTCTCCCCACGCCAGCAAGCTACAAACAAAATCAATAGCCTTGTGCTGGCAACATGATTTTATTGTTGTCTCCTTAATCTCCTCTACTCTTCTGCAATTAGTTTTATTACTACTGTTCATTTAATGAGACCATGGAGTTTGGTGCCAGATGGTGCCATTAGTTAAATCTGGAAGACTCTAATGGAATTGAGTTCAAAGCAGGTTAAAAGTAATAGAATTACAAATTTTAATGGTTATCACTTCATAGCACACTGCTCCGTGTACCTGTTACATACCAGAAACTAGTGCTGGTTTCAAACAGAAAGACTTGGATTAGAGTTCGGAGAGACCAAGTGTGCCCATTCACTCACTCATTCATTCAGCAAATATTTAATCGTGTTCCTATCTGGGTGCTTCAGGATACCATAAATAAGACAATCATGGTTTCTGCGTCATGGAGCTTAGAGTCTACTAGAGGAGAAAGACAACATCAAGCAAACCAGCAAGATCATTATGCATTTGCGGTAAGTGCTAGGAATGAGGGAAACACGGAACTGGCATGGAGGAGTAGAGGGTAGAGTGGTTTAGGTCAGGGCTTGATCAAGGGAAGCTCTCTGAGGAGGTGCTCTTTAAGTTGAGACTTGACTGGTAGAGAGAAGCTGATTTGGGGGCATGTAAGAGGAATGTCATTATTGTCTGATGCAGTGAATAGCATGTGGAAAGGCCTTGGGATGGAAGTCATTTGGTGTCCCCAAGGAACTCAAGGACACCTAGTGGGGAAGGGAGGATGGCTCGAGATAAGGCTGGAGAGTAGCCAGAACCTGTTGGATCCAGAGTTGTGCATGAGTGAGATGAATGAGCACTTAGAACCTGAGATTATCCAGGGATTTTAAACATGACTTTGTGCCAAAGTGCTGATGAGTAAGACTTGTAGCGAGAACGTCTTTTGGGTCAGGGCAGTAAATACTCATGAGAGCATCATGACCTGGTCAGTATGTACACTCATCAGAAGTATACTTCTGTCCCTTGGTGAAGAGGGCAGGCAAAACTGAGGCAATACTTTGATTCATAAAGTTGCTTTAAATAACGGTAGCAGTAATTTAAACTTTGTGTCCCTGCCTTCCTACAGGGCGCATCTATTGTATTTAGGTCTCCTCATCCTCCTGGTTGGTAACAGTGCCTGGCCTGCCTTTAAAGAACATCCCTGCTCCCCACCACATCTCTTGGCAAATGACTGCTGTCTCATTCCCACTGTTCCCTTTTCTGGTCTTTTGTCCTGGGCTGAGGCTCCTTCTCTCCTGTTGAATGAGTTTGCATCCATCAAGGCCAAGGTCAAAGAGACAAATGATCTCCTGGGCACTGAGCTTGAGAGAAGAACACAAACTGCCAATGTTTCCACCATCTCCAAGAAGTCTTTCTTCAGCTTCTCTCTGAATTCCTCCAGGGATTTGTACTTCCTGTGACGGCACCCACATTTGCACTGTTTATGAAGGATAGGCTGGATTATTAGTTCATTTCAGATATTCTCCGGATCTGTTGCCTTACACATAGCAGATACTAAAAGTATCTATTGAATTGAATTCTTACTAGTGGTTACCTTTTGTTGAGCAATTAATTGCCAAGTACTCTTCTGAGAGGTTGTTATTTAATCTATTTATGATGACTAATTTAATGTGTCAATTTGGCTAGGCCACGGTACTCAGACATTTCGTCAAACACTAGTTTAGACGTTTCTGGGAAGGTATTTTTAAAAACGAGATTAACATTTAAATTGATAGACTTCATGTAAAGTAGGTTACCCTTCCTTATGTGGGTGGGCCTCATCCAATCAGTCAAAGGCCTGAATAGAAAAAGACTGATGTCCCCTGAGCAGGAAGACATTCTGCCAGTCAATTGCCATTGGCTGAAACGGCAATTCTTCACTGGGGCTCCAGCCTCCCAGCCTACCCCACACACTTTGAGCTTGCCAGCTTCCACAATCGTGTGGGCAAACTCCTTAAAAATCTCTCTTTCTTATAAATTTGTTTAAGTTCTTTGTAGATTCTAGGTATTAGCCCTTTGTCAGATGGATAGATTGCAAAACTTTTCTCCCATTCTGTAGGTTGCTTGTTCTCTCTGATGACAGTTTATTTTGCTGTGCAGAAGTTCTTTAGTTTAATTAGAGCCCATTTGTCTATTTTGGCTTTTGTTGCCATTGTTTTTGTTGTTTTAGTCATGAAGTCTTTGCCCATGCCTATGTACTGAATGGTATTGCCTAGGTTTTCTTCTAGGGTTTTTATGGTTTTAGGTTTTACATTTAAGTCTTTAAACCGTCTTGAGTTAATTTTTGTATAAGGTATAAGGAAGGGATCTAGTTTCAGCTTTCTGCAAATGGCTAGCCACAAGAAAAAACCAACCCCATCAAAAAGTGGGCGAAGGATATGAACAGACACTTCTCAAAAGAAGACATTTATGCAGCCAACACACATACGAAAAAATGCTCATCATGACTGGTCATTAGACAAATGCAAATCAAAACCACAATGAGATACCATCTCATGCCAGTTAGAATGGCGATCCTTAAAAAGTCAGGAAACAACAGATGCTGGAGAGGATGTGGAGAAATAGAAACGCTTTTACACTGTTGATGGGAGTGTAAATTAGTTCAACCATTGTGGAAGACAGTGTGGCGATTCCTCAAGGATCTAGAACTACAAATACCATTTGACCCAGCCATCCCATTACTGGGTATATACCCAAAGGATTATAAATCATTTTACTATAAAGACACATGCACACGTATGTTTATTGCAGCACTGTTCACAATAGCAAAGACTTGAAATCAACCCAAATGCCCATCAATGATAGACTGGATAAAGAAAATGTGGCACATATACACCATGGAATACTATGCAGCCATAAAAAAGGATAAGTTCATATCCTTTGTAAGGACATGGATGAAGCTGGAAACTATCATTCTCAGCAAAGTAACACAAGAAAAGAAAACCAAACACCGTATGTTCTCACTCGTAAGTGGGAGTTGAACAATAAGAACAAATGGACACAGGGAGGGGAATATCACCCACTGGGGCCTGTTGAGGGGTGGGGGACTAGGGGAGGGATAGCATTAGGAGAAATACCTAATGTAGATGATGGGTTAATGGGTGCAGCAAACAACCATGGCACATGTATACCTATGTAACAAACCTGAAGGTTCTATACATGTACCCTAGAACTTAAAGAATATATATTAAAAAATCTCTCTTTCTCTCTCCCTGTATATTTTGGTTCTCCTTTCTGGAGAACCCTGACCAATAACACACCTGACATCTAACCATTTACGCCCATTTTATAGATGAGAAAATTGAGGTTCAGAGGTGTTGAGTGCCATGCCCAAGGGTATACACCTGGTACATGGTAGAGCCAAGCTCTCAGTCCAGGTCTTTCTGAGCCAAAACACAGCTTCTTATGCATGAAATCCACAAATAAGAACATAATGACCTACATACAACACAAACTGTACTTCCAATAAAGTAGCTCTCCTTTTTAATCATTCAAAAACTACCTCAGGATCTTACAGTGCGTGGAAATCATCAATATGTAATACCTTATTATCCAGGTGATGTGCAAAAGCATCCAGTAGCACAGGAGGTTGGTTAATAGGATGGTGTGTCCCAGTTTTTTACTGCACTTGTACTTGCTCTGAATATTTAGGAACCCTATATAAAATTATCTTCTCCAAAGTTATAATTTCCAAGAAGATCTTATACACACACTATTTTCATAAGCAGTCAACTGCAAAATCTTTAGAACCATGAGGGGATCTCAATACACAACAATTTAAGATTAACCATTTTGTTGAATTAAGATTATATCCCCTCCCCCAAAAGAATGAAATTAAAATAGAGCAAAATAAACAGCACACGTGGAATCCTGAGTCTCTTGATGCCTTTTGCCTTGGGCTAAAGTTCCCTGGTGAGTTGCAAACTTCAAAAGTGTCCTCAAACTGGAACATTTCCATAGGAAAAGTCAGCAGAAAATATTGACCCCAGGATCAATTATTTCTGTTTAAGTTACAGATTGCTGCAGTCAAAATCAGCAGCCAGTGTTTGATAAAGACAGCTCCTCTTAGAAAGAACTGTCATCTCCAAACACGTAGAGAGACACTCTCTCTGTCTTTCGATTACAATCATTATTTCCAGAATGGAGAAGATGATGATGATGATGAAGATATTGATTATGTTTGCTCTTGGAACGAACTACTGGTCTTGCTCAGGTAAGGTATTCACCAACCTGGCCACCTGCTCTGGATGATGCAGAGCCACGCTGGTGCCTGTGTCTTGTCTCACTGTGCCCCATGTGCTTGCATGTCCAGGTTTCCCAGTGTACGACTACGATCCATCCTCCTTGAGGGACGCCCTCAGTGCCTCTGTGGCAAAAGTGAATTCCCAGTCACTGAGTTCGTATCTGTTTCGGGCATTCAGAAGCTCATTAAAAAGAGTAAGTGCACGATGAAGTCTTCTCTACTCCTCCTTCCAATGCTGTCTGCCTTTTGTCAGTTCATTGGATATACTTTTAAGAAATTTTCTCCAGTTTAAAAATGATAGTAGCTAGTCATGTCTTTCATACTGTCTCTTTTCTTTGACAGAGAAAGGATTTAATTACAATTTTTGTCATGAGGCTCTCCAAGCCACTTTTGATGACTGACTCTTCTGCTGTATTCTCCTCTCTAACCTTGTCTTCTGGTTTTCTACATCTTGCTTTTGTACTTGAAGTCCTCATGTTCTTTCTGGGGTGTTTTATTAAGAACTTCTCATTTATTGGAAATGAGCTTCCTTTCAAATTCAGCAGTTCTGCTCCTAATACTTACTGGAAATAATCTGGCTTTTGAGCCAAAGAAATCCACCTTTCCTTGTCAATTTGGTAATAGTCTGTTTCCTCTTAGCCTTGGGAGCTAGAGAAAGAGTAATCACTTGGGCTTCCAGTGACTAAGTCTGTGATATGCAAGGAAAGAAATGTAAAAATATCCTTCAAAGGAAATGAGAAACATGAGCAGCAAGTCATCTCCCGTCTTCCTGTTCCCCAGGTAATTTCACAGCCTTATTATCATCTTCATGGGGCTCATTTGGAGTTAGGAATGAACATATTTTCAAGCAAATTTAGGTTAAGGTGAGAGGTAGAGAGGTTCTATAAAGTTGCACGTCTTAGGAATGAAGGCTTTGTGTAGCCAGGCAGCATGGGAATGAGAATGATGACACGGCCGAAGGTCCAGGCAGCAGAAACCAGATGGGCGTTGATTTCTCTCTGCCTGCTGCCTTCCCCCATCCCTCCTGGACGGACTCTTAGCTTGTTCCCTCTGCTACTCTGTAGAGCACATGGCTCATGGTTTCCTAGTTCTAGTCTCCAAATACAACATACTCAGCTTGATCTTCTTCAGAGCCTGGCTCCCAGTTTCTCTTTTCCAAATTTCAAGGAAAATGAATCAAATGGACCCAGTTTTCTTTTTTAGTTTGGTTATAGTTCATGAAGACTATGGGCTGTGTTTTTTTTAGGTGCCATTCCAGAATCATGGCCAGAGTGGGGGTGACTTGCAATATCCAGAGATGTTGTGTGAAGGCACTGGTCAGCTGCCACACCAAAGGTTGAGCTGCTCCTGGATCAGAATACAGAACCCTCTTCCTTGCTTGTATTGTCTTTCAAATGTCAGTTTCCATGGGCACTTAATGAAATCCACTTGTGGTGGTGTGGAATTGGGATCTTGTTGCCAACCTTGCAGATGAACAGTTTAAATTTACTTTTGATTTAGCTATTGCTCACTACAGAAGAAAGCAGTGTATTAGATGAATAAAAGCATGAAGACAGATCCCAAGAGAACCAATTACTGACACCATGGAAATCTGGCCTGTGGGGATGAGCTATTGTGAGGTACAACCACCAGAGCGTGTTCTGGCTCATGCACCATCTTGGTATGATCACCCAGACTTGAGCCCAGACACACACGCACCTAAAAATAGACACACTTATAGGTGATGTGTGTGACTCTCGATGAGCATATGAAAAATGTTGCCTCTCCACCTCAAGTACACTGCTCCTTTACCTGGAGGTCTGCCTATTCTTGCCTCTCCCTACCCTTTTCTGATTATTCAAATTCATTGGTCAAGCTACAGTCACCATGCCCTCTTGTTGAGAACTCTATTTCTTCTCCCACTGGAAGGGAGATTCTCTTCCTTTCATCTCTCCTGGTGATATTTTTTCCTATTGGGAGTGTTTCATATTTTGATTTATGTTGTGTGTATTAACCACGTCTTTTATAAACACCCTATAGATGGCTCCAAACATACCAATTCTCTCTACCCTAGCAAACACGAGAGATACACTGAGGCAAAGCCCTCAGAAAAGAGTTGAGTGAATAGATCACTAGCACTGGGGTTATAAACAATTCACAAAAGAGGAAATACAAAAGACTAAGAAAGATTTGGAAAAGTATTCAACCTCTCTAATAGAGGAAAGGTGCAGAATTAAAATCGCAATGTGAAAAAGAAGAATAACAAGGTAAAAGAATAACAGGGTGAAAAAAATCACAATTACTGCTTGAGAGTTTGTGATTTTGTAAAATTGTGTTTGAAAAGCAAGTTGGAAATACGTGTTAAACATATTCACTAGCATGTTAAACGTTAAAACTAGTAAATATTTAACACTTTCAATTGCATAGTTTCACTTCTAAGAATATGTTCAAAGCAAGTAAGTGGTTTAGTCATGAATATTTGGGGGTACAGTTCAATGGTTATAGGGAGAAGGGTTGGGCCCTTCTGCTTTGCCCCCAGGTTTGCTTACCAAGCCCACTGATTCTCTACTCAGACTGCACATCATCATCGCGTGGGATGATGCTTAAATATTTAATACTTCTGATGTCCAGGAGGGATGGTTGACTCCTTAAACCCCAGTCTCTGAGGGCAGGGCTCGTATTCTTCAATGTTCTCCTGCTCATTCTAATGTGTGGTCTGAGTGAAGAACAACTGCGTATTAACCACAAACCTGGATCAAATATTCTTGTAATTGATTTTAAGTTACTCACCTCCTGGACTCCAAATCTGAAAAACGATGAGAAAAGATAAAACCACATGACTTTAGCATTGATGATTTTCTTGCTCCAACCTTGACAATAGGCTCACTTGGACTGTTCCCTCAGTGGACACAAGCAGAGAAAGGAAAGGTGGGCACTGGTCCTGTGCTGGGCAGGGGGAAGCAAAGAGGACAAGTCAGGCTGTGGTTTCATAGGGAGCAGTTTCTACCAGGGAAAGAGAGGGAAGGGAGATGGGGAGGGAGGGGAAGGGGAAGAAAGCGGAAGAGCAAGAGGACACAGTTAAATAAATCAAATTCATTTCCAATAGTGGAGAGTACCATAGAGGAGGGTAAGCAGGTTAATGTGACAGGCCCGGTCTGGGGCAGCAGTCAGATGGGGCAAAAGTGTCCTCTGAGGCTGCATATTTGAGCTAAGACTCACTCCAGTGACAGGAAGTTCCCACCATGGAAAGACCTTTTGAGGAAATATTGGGGTGAGCTGGCAGAGTCAGTGGGAGGGCCCTGAAGGACAAAAGGCCTTGAGAGGGAGGCTGGCTAGAGCCAAGTGAACCTGGAAGAGAAAGGTGGGAGTGGAGAGAGGTCAGAGAGGTGGGCATGAGTGGGACATGCCTAGGTCATGATTTTGAGGAGATTGGGGTCTGTTTTAAGGGCAATGGGTAACCCCTGGGGACATCTGCATTTGCAAACCATCTCTGCTTAGCTTGGGCCACAGTAACAAAGTACCATGAACACATAACAAACCATGGACTAGGTGATGCATAAACAGCACCAACTTATTTCTCAGAGTTCAGGAGGCTGAGATCCGGGATAAGCATGCCAGCACGGTCCGATTCTGGTGAGGGCCCTCTTCTGGGCTGCAGACTGCTGATTTCCTGTCGTATCCTCACATGGCAGAAAGACAGCTAGCTAACTCTCCAGCCTCTTCTTATAAGGATGCTAATCCCACTTACAAGAGCTCTATCTTGAAGACCTAATAACCTCCCAAAGGCCCAACCTCCAAATACCACATCCGGGATTAGAGTTTCAATATACGGATTGGGGCAGGGGACAAACAGTCCATTACAATCTCTCTAGCTGCCTGTGGAGTGGGGGGTGGGGGAGAAACTGAGCATGGTGAGATGCTGGTGTGGGGTCTCAAGTCAGGGGAGGGAGGATGGGGGGAGCAGATAAATTTGTGGTACGTTTGGAGGCAAAGCCATGGAGGTTTGGGATCCTTGAGGTCTCCATGCCCGTTTTTGTGTGTCCATTTTACATTTCAACCTCTTTGCATTTTTTGGTTTTTGACTTTCTAAATTATTCTCAGCTAGTCATTTCTGATCTTTACTTTTTGTGCATTAATAAAGGATCCATTTGAAAAACGTAAGTGACCAGTGCACAATTTCAAAGGCTGGCAAGTCCAAAAGGAAAAAACAAAATATCATGAGGTAGGCCAGCAGGCTGGAGATTCAGGGACAACTTATAGTTTGAATCCAAAGGCAGTCTGCTGGCAGAGCTCCTTTCTGATGGGAAGATTTCTGACCTTATTCTATTAAGGCCTTCAACTGATTGGATAAGGCCCACCCACATAATGGAGGGTCATCTGCTTTACTCAAAGTCCACTGACGTAAATATTAATCCCATTCAAAGAATAGCTTCACAGAAACATTCAGAATAATATTGACCAAATATCTGGGCACCATGGTTCAGTCAAGTTGACACTATAAAATTAACCATTACAATTGTCAAACGGAATTGCTGTGGGTCTTTTATTTTTATATATTTGTATTTCTTTTAAAAATAAAAACCAAAATGTAATTATTACGAAAAGTCAGAAAATACAAGAAAGGGAAAATGAAAAATAACATTCATTATCCATTTCTGTGAGAAACACTCACTATAACCCCATGAGAGGATATCCTTTTGAGGTTTTTAAATTCATATGAAGGTATAAAATGCATTTTTAAAGAAAAATAAGACCGTATTGTAATACTGATTGTAAATTACCATAGTTTATTTCAGCAGTAATGCTGGGTTTTTAATTTTCTCCAGTTGATTTCTTATTGTTGAGCATTTAGGCTGTCCCACATTTTTTGAATTACACAGAATAGAAATTTACTGGCAGAAAGTGAGTTCAAAGGAAACAGCAGAAATGTTAGGTGTTTCTCCCTATTCTTGAAAGACCCCTTCAAGATGCAAAAGAGGTTGCAAAATTATCTCACAGCTCAATAAAACGATCTGTACCCCCCAAAAACCCGCATTTTCATCTTTTCAGCTTTCGTGTTGCCAGTTTGCTTCCATCGAATTGCTTTCCGGTGAATTGCTGAAGCATGCTCTGCAGTGGAGGGCCCCAAACAATGGACTTCAGTTGATGGGAGAGGTTTTTATTTTTTAATTTTTTAATGAGACTCAGATTTAACATTCAAAATATTAAAATTATAAATATATGAGGCAGTAATTCACAGTGAGGTTGAGTTTTTATTTCTACTTGTTTTCAGAAAATTCCACTTGTATCAGCACTCATTATGTGTCCTATGTTAGGAGACATAAAGATCCCCATCTGAAGCTTGGAGTTTTGCCACTTTTTTTCCGAAACAAAATGTTCTGCATGTGCCTATGATTCCCCACTTGTAAATAGTTCTGGCTCTCACAGAAAGAGCGCTGCCTCCATCTCTCTCCTTCTTGGGTGGTATGTTCAATGTGTTGCTGACTTCAATTTGCTGCAAGGTAGGTTCAGAAACTAAGAGGGAAGAAGTGACTTGGATCCTGGGGGTGTTGTCAGGTACTGGACCATGGTGGGCTCCCCACTGACTTCCTGCTGCCCCCTTGTTCCTGCCCCAATCTGTTTACCTTGCAGCAGCCACAGTGATTCAGGTGCAGGTCTTAAAATCCTGGGATAGCATCTTGCTGCAGTGACAATGAAATCTAAACACCTTCCCGTGAGCTCCAAGACCATACCTTGTCTGACACGCTCCATCTCTCCAAAGTTGTAGTGTATGGTTCATGCCTTAGTCAGGTTGCTCCAGCCACAAGAGGCGGACTTGTCCCTGCCCCAGGGTATTGACTCTGCTTTCTGTTCACAGGATGAGCTTCTTTCCATCCTTCAAGGCTCAGTTTAAATTTGCCTTCCTTGGGAGGATTTTTCTGGCATTTTCTCTAAAACAGCTGCTTCCTTCCCTCACCCCCATTGCCATGTTGTTGTTTTTCTTGATGGCCCCATAACTATCTGGGAGGATCTTGTATAGTTTTCTTTGCTGTGTCCACTGTATGGCACTTCCTCTGGAATTTAAGCCACGTGGCATCTTCCCTGCTCTGCCTCTGGTACTGAACACACAGTGAGGACTCAAGAAGTCACAGGACTTTGTGACATCAGAACTCCCCAGATTTGTCATAGAGTTTAGATAATTTTCCTTTGTGGAAAGGAGAATAAAATCATTTAAACTCATTCACAGATCAGAACTGCTCAAGCAGGAAGCTAGGGCTGCAGAATAGTCTGTACTGCAGAGATGCACTTGTTGCTTAATTATTTATTTCAGGAATTATTTAAAAAATTATGGAGCAGTCTTTTAGGAAAATGACACTTAGAAATATGTACAGTTGATTCTTCTTACTTGTAGTAGTTACATTGTATAAAATCACCATGAACACCGAATTAGCAAACACAGAATCATTGCTCCTAGGGGAAATAGAAGGTGCGGTTCCTGTGAGCCTCGGGTCACAACATTTTCATTAACCCATCAATACTAACCTTGTTTTTGTGAATTCCTGCTTGAGGATGCTTAAATTAATATATATTGTTGATTCATTAACATTGAACTCATGACCAATAGCACTGTGACTCCTCCCTGAACAAAGCTCACCTCACTCACATATTTTCCGTGTCAGGTGCATCACAGCCTTGTGCTTGGGAACACTAGTGGGGTCTTCCACACCAGGCTTGGGGGCCATCTTAAACACTAAAGCTACCAACAAAAAGCACAAAAATGCAACAACAACAAAAAGCCACTAAAGAGACCATAAAAAGCACACCTGTTTTCAATATGAGAGTTGAAACAAGAAGGCAGAATGTCTCCTTGTTTGGCTTCTGTTGGTAGCATGCATGTTGGGTGACTCAAGATTTTTGTTGTTTGGCATTTGTCCATACATGACACTTACTTGCCAAAGTAAGTGCTACTAGTATTGATTTTGGGGTTACAAATAAATTTTAGTGAGTAGATGAGTTCGCCAATACGGAATCCACAAATAGTGAGTATCAATTGTCACTGTAAAGTGTTAGAAGCGATACTGGGCTTGGAGTTAGAACACCTACATTCTGGTTCCATTTTTGTCACTAAACTATTGTACGACTTTGGTAAGTCACTTTTCCTCTCTGGTCTGGAGAAGAAAGGCATGGAATTAGGTGGTTGCTAAGATAATGTATTGCTTTCATGGTGGATGATTCCGTAATTTTTTTCTCATGGGGCAGAAAGAATGGTTTATAGCATCGTAAACTTCAGACATGCATTGATCACACTCTGACACTTTATTTTTGTGAAGGTTGAGGTCCTGGATGAGAACAGCTTGGTCATGAATTTAGAGTTCAGCATCCGGGAGACTACATGCAGGAGGGATTCTGGAGAAGATCCTGCTACATGTGCCTTCCAGAGGGACTACTATGTGGTAAGTGGGAGATGATCCCTCCCAGAAATGAACAAAAGGAAGAGCCTCACTTCTTCCATGACCTAGAGTCACACAAAGAACTTGGCCGCTGCCTGGCTAGCATCTGGCCCCACTGCTAACAGTGTGGACATGGTGTCCTCTGGTGGGGGATGTGTTACTCCGTGGCTGATCATTGAGCTATGGAGTCTGAGATCCTGAGTGATCCTGACAAATTACTTAATCCCTGGTGCCTCAGTTTCCTGCTTTTTAACATGAGGATGTATTTGTATCAGGTAAAGTGAATACAATGCCAGAGACAAATCCCAGACACACTTAAAATTCTCTTACAAAGGATTATGAAACACTGACTGTTCCTGGCACATGTCATGTTCTTTTGCTGTTGACTGTTGAATGACACCTGTCTTCCCTACTATTTCAGGCTTAGTGAGATCAGGAGCATGGCATGTTCGTTTTCGTGTCTCTCATGACCAGAACATGTATAGCACTGTTCCATGGTGAGCAGGTCCATGCAAACCTAACCCCAAAGGCCAAGGGAGCTGAGAGGCTGAAGAAAGAGGCTCCCAAACACAGTTTACCAGAAAAAAACAAAACAAAACACTTCATAGGGACTTACAAACAGAACCCGTATCTTAGGTAGAGGTGAGACAGTGGATCCCTGTGCCATTACCTCCCAGACCCAAGGCTTACATACTGTAGGGAATTTGACCTAAGGCCAGGATTTACAGTATGTATGTGAAAGTGGAAATCTTAGAGGGATTCCCAGAAATGGGTTAATCAGAAGTCAACATGGCAGATTGGCATCCAAGCTGGAATAGCTTTGGTCTCCACAGACACTTAGTCAACATCCACGGGCAGTAATCCCATCTGAACAGGGCAACTCCAGCAATCCAAAATTTGCTTTCCAAAGTGTTTGCATTCCGAGGTTCAAGCTGTTGGGTTTTGTTACTTAAAAGAGGATTGTTTGATTTGCTATTTGTTTCATGAAACTACTCACCGTGACTCTGTTTTACAAAGGACTCATACAAAAGTGTCAGAAGCTTCTATTTCTAATGAAATCTGAGGTCTAAGAAGAAGAGGGTGAAGTCCTGTGGGGTTCTTCATCATTTCTTTTTGTCTGAATGAAAATTGACTCAGGGCAGCCCACTCAGCACTAATGGGGGACATGTTTGCTTTTTCTAGAGACTGGTAATGGGTCAAACAGCAAAGAGATATTTAAATATTTCATTTGTTTCTGCTTCGGTCTTGAGGAATTTTCATTTTGAAAAAATAAAATGCCTCTGTGAAGATTTTCTTCCTTTGTCATTTCGCCAAACCTGACATTATTTCCTGATTTACTCGATGGAGGCTACCCCTTTCCACAAACAGCTGAAGAGAGAACTCACCACTTTGTCTTTTCCAGCCCACAGCTGTTTGCAGAAGCACCGTGAAGGTATCTGCCCAGCAGGTGCAGGACGTGCATGCTCGCTGCAGCTGGTCCTCCTCCACGTCCGAGTCTTACAGCAGTGAAGAGGTATGACCGGGGCCTTGTCTTCTCTCAGACCACACCTCTTAGGGTCTGTGTGGGTTTGTGAAAAACAGAGTGGTTTGCTGGGTAGTTGGGTCATCGCCTGGGCTTGGGGACGCAGAACTCTGCTGACACAGTGGCATTCTCTCTTGGACACTTACAGCCTCACTGTCCACATCCCCTACTTCTCCCAGCCTATTCTTTCACTCTTGTTCTCTCTCTCTCTCTCACACACACATACACACACACACACACACACACACACACACACACACTTGATTTCCCTGGGATTGGGAAATGGCTTTAAAGTAACAATTAGCAAACCTTTAAAGTTTCAGATCTAAGTATGTGGCTTGCTGGCACTGTGGTTTAGTGCAATCAAGAAGGACATTTTTGTTGAACCAGTGTTCAAAACTATTTTCCAGCTCTGCAGTCCAGGTCAGGACACTTGACTTTCATTTAACCCTCACGATCCATGACTTCTTCATCTGTTAAGTGCTAGCAGTCATAAAGACCACCTTATAGGCTGTTGAGAGAATCCGGGAAGTTGATGGACATGAAGGATCTGGCCTGGCACTGGGATACTCAATGGATGGCAGGACCCTTATTTTTTCTCAATTGTATTGAAAGTGATTTGCAATAATACTGTAATATTAATAACATATACATTTTTCCTTGAAATTATATTATATATGTGTCCAATTATTGGCTGCTTTCCTTACTAGACTGTGTGTCTCACGAGGGCAGGGAATGTTTGTTTTTGTCAGCCCAGGACAATGTTTGATGCAGCACAATGTTTGACACAGCTCACAAAATACTTGTTGTATAAATGCAAGAAAACTGGGGAAAAAATGGACAAGAATATGATAAGAAGAGGCCATCTCTTCACTTTAGGGATAAAAGCAAGACATATTTGTTCATGTGTAATAGGATAATATTATTGACAGATATTTCTAAAATATTTCCAACATTATATGGATGATTCTGTCAAACATATGCTTTCTGTTTAATATTTTTGTTCAGTTTTTCAAGATTTAACTCTAGTGAAAATTACATTTAAATATTATAAAATTTCGACTTCAAGAATTACACATAAAAGTTAATTTTCCCATATAATTAACATACTCACGCCTTAACTATTTTGTCTGGAAGTACGTTCAGAATTGGAAAGTAATGAAACTAATGACTGAGACACTCCTATCACAGAGGATGGCCTTATTGGTACAAAGAGAACTTCACAGAGTTTATTAGGACTTTCTCCGCAAAAAGTTCAGTTGAGCATGGCCTTATTGATTGATCCCATTCACACTGACAACTTCTGAAGGTCGTCTCCCAGCTGATCTCTGAACTTGTCCTGGAGCCATAGTTGAAGAATCTTCGTTTCTTAGTGCTGGGGCGAGTACCATGGGCCTCCTTCCTTAGATCCTATTGAAATATTTAGGACGTCAAATACATTCTGTTGTAACACACTCATACACTGTGGCCCAGCTAACACAGAAATGACAAGGACCATGCTTATCACTTCACAAGTCTTTTGTTAGTCTTGATTTGTGGTTCATATGAGAAAAAAGATGGTGGGGAGGAAGACAAGCACAGTGCTAATCATTGTGGAGTTTATAGACATGTCTGGGGGAAAGGTGTCCACTAAGCAGGAATTACCTGTCAGGCAGGCACTGGGGGCCGCATAGTGAGAGGAATTCAGGTCACGTGGGGAGCAGACAGCTTATCCCAGGAACTGACCTTCCAGCCAAGATCCAGAAGGCGGGTATACGGTAGAACAAACAGGGCAGAGTGTGGAGGGGGAAGGGCATTTCAAGCATTGGGGAAATCATGGGGAGTACCCTGAATTGCCAGGAAAGCTGGTAGGTTGAAATGGATAGAACTCTATTACAACAGGAATGAGAAAAACACAGGGAGAGAGGCACAAGGTGGAGCTGGAGGAACACTAGCAGTCAAGATGCACTTTGAGGGTCCTGTTGAGGATGTCTGGCTCTATCCTGAAGACATGGGGTTATGAAAGGGTTTTAAGTGTGTGTGTGTTGGGAGCGGAGGAGGGTAACCGAATCAGATGATGAACAGATTGGAACTAGGTAAGAATAAATATGGAGTAAATATGAAGTAAATAAGAGGTGAGAGAGAATGCTGACTGGGTCTAGGGCTTAGTAGTGAATGTTGAGAGAAATGGATTCTGCTTCATTTTATGACCTTTAACACAAAATGAATTTAGTAAATGGCCAGCTAAGTTAATGCCTCTTCCACCCCTCAATGGGAAAATGGGTTCTGGTTGTTTGCAAAGCCCACAAATCTGTTGCAACTTTCTAATTGCATAGTGAAGACCACTCTCTTTTCTTCCGATTTAAAGTTTTCTAAGAAGACTCAGATGTTAAGTTAGCGCTTGTAAAAAAACTAGATCTTAAAATAAACTCCCAGGTTGCTTGTTCTTAAAGCTTAGGTGATCATAAACATTTTTGAGCAAATTTATTTTTTAAAATTCTCAAATTAAAAAAATTCTACAATTCAAAAGGAAAGAAGAAAGCAGATAGAGACTTGAGTAGTTCCTGGAAACTCTGAAATGAATTTCTTGCATGAAACAGAGAAGAAATGACAGAACAACTGGTAATCATTTTCAGTGAAAAAAATGGTGATATTATAAATATGAAAGACATTAGATTAGGATAAATTTAGTCATAGAACAAACAAATTGTCGTCGGAAGGAAGAAATAAAAGAAACAAAACTGAAAAAAAACTCCCAGAGTAATAAAAATACAGATCACTTGAAAAACACATAGAGAATGTAGAGGAATTTCCAGAGTAAGGAATGTAAGATAAAGAAAAATGGAAGCCATGGCAAATAAACCCCAAAATCCAAATTATGACTAATAAGGACTTAGAGTAAGTCTGGTAAGGACATAATGAGAGACCTGAATATAAAATCTTTGGACTTTCCATGACATAATTTTTTAAAGTATAGTAACAATAAAAAATTGAGAAAATAATTTTCTAAATTTGCAAGTATTCTCTTATCCTTGACTAAATAGATATGTGAATTACTGTAGTTTTTATTATTTCTTTTACAATCCTGAAAGAGAAATGTGTAGAGGAGAAAAGCTTTCCATATGGTGCATAAGCACTCACTCAGTCTTATACTGGTGCAGGCGCCATCAGAAGTACAATGCTGAAAGGGTACAACGTAGTACAGTTGTAGGTTGGCGCTCTCTGTTTTTTTTTCTTCAGTTTCTAATAAGTGAGCTTGACTTTAGACAAATCCTTCTGATTTGGAGTGGATACGATGAAGTCAGCTAGGGTTTCCGACACGAGACCCAAAATAGTCCAAGAGAGAGAAACTGAGGAAGAATAATGACAGGAGTTCTGAGCTCAGAGGAGGGGTGACAGGTATTTAATTTACTTACTGCCTTTCATTTCAAGAGATAGATATTCAACTAGAAGTAGTCTAAGCCAAAAAGAGGTAATTCCCTGGATCACATTCCCAGAAAGGAAGGAGAGAAGTTGGCTTCAGGGACAACTCGACTTAGGGTCCTTCAGTCCTGTATGTGCCACATTCTTCTTCCCCTTCTCTCCCTGCCTCCTCTTCCCTATGCCCCTCCCTGTTCCTCCTTCCCCTCATTCCCCTTTCTCTCTCTCTCTCTCTTCCTCCCTTTCCTCCTCCCTCTCCCTCTCCTTCTCCTTCCTTCTCTGCCTCCTCCATCTTCTCCTCCTTCCTCTCTCTCTGTCTCTCTCTCTCTCTGTCACTGTGCCTCCCGCACTCCACGCCCACCCTTACTGCAGAGAGGCTTCCTCCTTGCAGCAGGAAGAAAGCCTCAAGCTACTCCAGACTATGTCCTCTGTACTTAGGAGGGAAAGGAGCCATTTCTCTCTGCTGCCAGTTAGAGAAACCTCTCAGCATTTCCCCTGTTGGCCTGGCTTAGGTGTCCCCTTTTTTTGTTTTTTTATACATGTAACTTTATTATTAATTTATTTTAAATTGTATATATTTACTGTGTACAATGTGATGTTTTGATACTCCCCTTCTAAAATACATTTTGGTGGAGATGTAATTTACATACCATAGAATTCACCCTTTTTATATGTACAGTTCAGTGCTTTTTAGTATATTCACAACTGCCACCACCATTTAAATCCAGAGCACTTTCATCACGTGGAAGAGAGACCCTAATAACAGTTATTCTCTATTCCTTATTCCTCCCAACACCTGACAACCACTAATCTACTTTGTGTGTCTATGGATTTGTCCATTCTGATCATTTCATACAAATGGAATCATACAGCCTGTGTTCTTTTGTGACTGACTTGTTTCACTTAGCATAACGTTCTGGAGGTTTATCCATGTTGCAGCATGCATCAGTGCTTCATTCCTTCTTATTGTTCCATTTTACAGAGCCACATTTGATTGATCCATTCGTTCGTTGGTCAACATTGGGTTTATTTCTCCCTTTTTGGCTATCACAGATAATGATGCTAGAAGCATTCATGGGCAAGTTTTTGTGTACACATATATTTAATTCTCTTGGGAACAGAATTCCTGGATCATATAGTAACTCGATGTTTAATGACCATATAGTGACTTTATGTTTAACTTTTTGAGGAACTGCTACATTATTTCCATAGCAGCTGTACCATTTTACATTCCCACCAGTACTGTATGAGGATTTCAGTTTCTATACATTTTTGTCAATACTTGTCTTTTTTATTTTAACCATTCTAGTGAGTGTGACATGGTACCTCATTGTAGTTTTTTTTTGTTGTTGTTGTTGACAGAGTCTCACTCTGTCACTCAGTCTGGAGTGCAGTGGCATAATCTTGGCTCACTATAACCTTTGTCTCCCGGGTTCAAGCAATTGTAGTGTCTCAGCCTCCCAAGAAGCTGGGACTACAAGTGTGTGCCACCGTGCATGGCTAATTTTTGTATTTTTAGTAGAGACAGGGTTTCACCATGTTGGCCTGGTTGGTCTCCATCTGCTGGCCTCAGCTGATCTGCCTGCCTCGCCTCCCAAAGTCCTGGGATTACAGGCATGAGCCACTGTGCCCAGCTCTCATTGTGGTTTTAATTTACATTTTTCTAATGACTAATGATTGGCCATTACACATCTTCTTTGAAGAAATGTCTGTTCAAATCCTTGCCTATGATTTAATTGTACTATTTGTCTTTTTATTGAGTTGTTTTGAAACATTTTCTCCCCCTCTGTGGACTATCTTTTACTTTCTTGATGGTGCCCTTTGAAGAGCCAAATTAAATTTTGATGAAGTCCAGTTTAGTAATTTTTTGTTTTGTTGTTTCTGTAGTCTTACATTAGGTCTATGCTCCATGTTGATTTGACTTTTGCATATGATGTGAGGAAGGAGTTCGACTTCATTCTTTTGCATGTGCATATCTGGTAGTATCAGCACTATCTGTTGAAAGGAATGCTCTTTCTCTCTTAAATTGTCTTGGTATGTGTCCCTTCCTGGTCCAATGACTGTGATGGAGGCCAAGAGACTACCTGTAACTGTTCAGGACGGGGAGGACAGCCTACCAAGACTCTTGGTAGAAAGACTGTGAGCCAAGCAACCACTTTACTTTGCGATGATTGCATGGACTTTTAGTGGTTTCATGAAAACTTCTTGTGGACACCTTTTCCTACTGAACATATTACAATGACTTTGTAGAGAGAAAACTCTAAAATTTGACCTAAACTTAGTCTATGTGCAAGTCTGTGTAACAGGGTTTTGCTTTTCTGGAGGTCGACCATGTTTGGGAGTACATTCTCAGTCTAGGGGAAAGATCTGTGGGCAATTTAAACTTCACGTAGGTTGCTCTTCCCCATGTGCTTTCTTAGACTTACATGTTTGATACCATATAAAGTTATTTAATATAATATATTGCCTATTTCTTAAAAAATGGATTATATAACATATATCAGAGTCTTCCAGATGACATTTACATTTTTCAGTGTCTTTTCTTTTTCTTTCTTTCATGTGTTGAAATATCCTGATGCCTGAATTTCTTTAGATGATTTTTGGGGACATGTTGGGATCTCGTAAATGGAGAAACAATTCTCTATTTGGTAAGTTAAGATTTGTTCTTTTTAATCTTTTTTCTTAAAATAACTTCATATTGCAGTTCTTTCCTAGTGAGTCATTTAAAACTAGAAATACGTATGTATATAATCTTGCAACAATTACAGTCATAGAAAATTAACATTTTGGTGGGGCGCGGTGGCTCAAGCCTGTAATCCCAGCACTTTGGGAGGCCGAGACGGGCGGATCACGAAGTCACAAGATAGAGAACATCCTGGCTAACACGGTGAAACCCCGTCCCTACTAAGAAATACAAAAAACTAGCCGGGCGAGGTGGCGGACGCCTGTAGTCCCAGCTACTCGGGAGGCTGAGGCAGGAGAATGGCATGAACCCGGGAGGCGGAGCTTGCAGTGAGCTGAGATCCGGCCACTGCACTCCAGCCCGGGGGACAGAACGAGACTCCGTCTCAAAAAAAAAAAAAAAAAAAAAGAAAATTAACATTTTGTTTTGCTTTTGCTTACTTTTTATCACTAGGTAGTAATGATACAACTATTCATTTAGATATTTCTTTGTATTCACAACAGAGCTTTTCCATACATCATTCCATTTGATGGCCCCAACATCTCTGCCAAGTAAACAGAGCCAGTGTTGGTTTTCCCCTTAAGAATGTGTAGCTGGGAGGATCAGGAGTAAACAGGGTGAATTCTGTCGTCTTTCAGCTGTACAACTAGATCTGATCATCTCTTTGAATGTCTTGGTTCAGGGAGGAAGGGCTCCTCTTCTTTCTTTCCCTATGTGGCTTTTAATATAAAGTGGTTTGGATTAGTGTTCTATGATTTAGGAGGCATTTTTCCTATTAGTGCTGATAGCAATAAAACTCAGTGGTGATCTCTTACTGCTTCTTTGCTTAAGAAGCATATTTGTGGCATTAATAATGAAGTCATAGAACATTCTGGAATAGTGAGAGGAGTCTTGTCTTATGATTATTACTGTGTTACAGGTCTCATTCCAGATGAGTCCACAAGTGAACAATTTTATGATCAGTCACTTGGTAAGTGGTTTCTTTCCTGCTGTGCTACCAGACCCTTTTCTGATCAATCTGGACTCCTGAGAAATCCTATTTCATAGCTGTTTCCAGTTTCATAGGAGTTAAATCTCTGAAAGACAAAATATTTTAAGTAAAAATGAAAAGAATAGTAATGTATAAACTTGCTTTGCAAATCATTTAAAAGGTAGCCTTGAGGCACTAACTGACTTAAAAGTTACCAAGAATCAAAATATCAATATCCTGGCTCAGGAAATAAGAATTCACCATTTTTTTCTGACACTCTCTGGAGCATTTAAAAAGTAGCATGAACTCTAATAATCTTCTATTTTTAAATTTGAAAAATTTAATTTTTATGGGTACATAGGAGGTATATATATTTATGGCATACATGAGATATTTTGATGCAGGCATACAACGTGTCTAATGATCTTCTTTTTGCCATACTCAACAAAACTTCTCACCAAATGGATGAAACAAAGTTATTTTGTCCCTCTCCTGTACAGATCAGTTTTCTCATTTGGTCCTCATGATAGCCCTGTCAACCAGGTGTGTTACCTGCTTATATAGACGAAGAAAGCAGTAAGAACTCATGGCTTTAATTGGCATATGCAAATTGCCTACCCTGTACTAATTGCTTAACATAATTTTCTTCTTCAGTGTCACAACCATTCTGTGAGGTAGCACTGTGTTCTTTCCCATTTTGTGGGTGAGCTAACTGAGGCTTAGTGAGTTTCCCTAATTTGCTTGTGGCTACATTGCCAATGCAGGACTTTAATCAGATTTGTCAGAATCTAAAACCTGTGCCTGTTTCATGCTGCCTCCCAGAAGAGCTGCGAATCCACCTGATGTTCAGCATTCCCCATTAAAATGAATAACACAGATATTAACATTTCAGTGAGCTCAAAGTCTGACCTTCATTAGGCATACTCCAGTTTATTTGAAATGCTAGAGCTTATAACCTGATGCTTGTTTTTTTTTAAATGCCAGTTTTATATTTCATCCAAGGTGTCACTTTGGGAGAATATACAGTTATTATAACAGCATGACCACTGCCGAAATGTTTTTATGAGCTTTTCCTTTGGAATTGTCTTCAGAATCCATGGCTTTTTTTTTTTAAATCTCTGTCCTGGTGGCAAACATTTGCCCTTGGATTTGGTGTTGGGAATATTCAAAAGATATTTGTAAATAAATCTGATTAATCAGATTAATAATCAACTTGAGTGTGTTGGTTATCTATTGCTATGTATCAAATTACCCCAAAATTTGGCAGCTTAAAACAAACACATTTATTACCTCACAGTTTCTGAGGGTCAAAGACCCAGGAGAAACTTAGCTGGGTGGTTCTGGCTCAGAGTCTATCGAAAGGTTTCAGACAAGATGTTGAATGGGCTGTGATCTCATCTGAAGCTTGACTGGGGTTGAAGGAGCCACCTCTAAGCCCACTCACATGTTGTTAGGAAGCCTCAGTTCTTCACAGGCTGGTGGACCAAGGGCTTCAGTTTCTCACCATGTGACCTTCCCATAGGACTTCTGAATGTCCTCAAATCATGACAGCTGGATCCCGCCAGAGATGATGATTTGATAGAGAGAGAGAGAGAGAGAGAGAGAGAGAGAGAATGAGCAAGCAAGAGCACTGAAGGCAGAAGACACAGTCTTTTATAAATTAATCTTGGAAGTGATATGACTTCACTCCTGCATAGTTTATTATTAAACACACAGGCGAATCCTGCCCCAATGTGGGAAGGGACTGCCCAGGAGTGTGAATACCAGAAAGCCATCTTGGAAACTGATTATTGCATTGGACAAATGCCATTTGGACTAAAAATGTTATATGGATATAAATTAATGTGACCAATTCTTTTATATGTCTTGGAAGAGATTTCTAAGCCAAAATCTAAAAACACATTGGGCCTGGAGGAGCATCATTGACACAGAAGTGCAGCTGTCTTGGAGACTGCTTTGAACATGATGATTTAATTTAATTCAACAAATGTATGTGCCAAACACTGGGTAGATCCCATGGAGGACTGAAAGATAAAGGTGGCAGTTCCTGCCCTCGAGGGCATCCATGGTGGCTGAGACATCACATGTAGTAATACAGAGTGGGGAGAAATGAGCACTGGACCCAGCTGTAACACAACACAGGGGAGAAGGAGAGAGAGTGGAATAAGGAAGATGAAGTTATCACGTTATCATGAAGTTATTATTCTCATGGCAGATGGATTCAGGTTATGCTTGTCACAATCCTTCTCATTAATTTGTAGTAACATTGTCCACACTGTCTCAGCTCTTGATGTGACTGACAGAGCCTATGCTTCCCTTTTCTATCTTTAGAGATCATGAGAAGGGTTTTGCCTCCTGGAAACAGAAGATACCCAAACCACCAGCACAGAGCAAGAATAAATGCTGACTTTGAGTAACAGCCTTGAGGTAAGAAAATGTAGGTGCACACATGTGTATTTAGAAATAGAAGCTATGTGGAGTGAATGCCTTAAAACTGCCGGCCTCCAGATATCTACAATGTACTATTCAAATCTTTGCCTTTTGGCTTCTACGACCGCCTTCCCAAGACTTCTCCTCAATTGCCTCTTCAATCTCATGCACCCTCAATCTTTTTCCCATGACATTTGTATCTGTTGCCACTGATGTGATCAAGTCTATCCATTTGAGGAGCAAACAAACAACAAGGGCACAGTCCCTTCTTTTGGCTCATCTCATCCATCTAAGCAACTACCTTCCCTCCATCCTTCCTTCCCTGCTAAACTTTTTGACACAACTGTGGTCTCTGGTTGCTTCCTCAACCTCCTCACCTCACATCTATGAAATACCATCTAGCTTCCTTTTCTTGATGTGTATTTTATTTATTATTTATTAATTTATTTTTTGAGAGGGAGTTTCGCTCTTGTTGCCCATACTGGAATGCAATGGCATGATATTGGCTCACTGCAACCTCTGCCTCTTGGGTTCAAGCGATTCTCCCACCTCAGCCTCTCTAGTAGCTGGGATTACAGGCTCCTGCCACCATGCTCAGCTAATTTTTGTATTTTTAGTAGAGATAGGGTTTCACCATGTTAGCCAGGCTGGTCTCAAACTCCTGACCTCAGGTGATCTGCCTCCCTCAGCCTCCCAAAGTGCTAGGATTACAAGTGTGAGCCACCGTGCCTGGCTGATGTATACTTTAAATACTGGTGAGCATTTGTATGATCTCCTTAGTTTAATTCTTCCCCTATTCTGTAGATTACTCTTTTATCTCTTCTTCTTGCTTGACTTTAACTATCAATGATGCATAATTATTTCCAAACACTTGTCTCTTACCACACTCTATGTCTGGATCCAGGCCTTTATATCAACTGCCTATGTGGCATTGCCTTTGTGTATCCTGGGTGTCCCTGAAACTCAACTAGCTTCCTCAAGCTCCCTTTCTTAATTGATGGCATTACCATTCACCTAATTTGCTCAAGCTAAAAATCTTGAGGGCATCACTGACTCCCCTTCATCCTTCATCTTCTTGGAACATACATTGGGGTGTGGTCTTATTCACTTCCCCCACACATTTCTCTGGCATTGGTCCATCACTTCACTACCATCACCAATGAACTATTGATTGTATTCTTGCCTCAGGTTCTGATCCCACACTGTCTACCTTGCTTACTGTCTTCAGGTTTATCATGAAACATGGAGGAGACTCTGAAACTTGCCCCATATAAACTAATGCTTGCTTCACTTGTGGGACTGAGCAGAGGTGGGCAACAACTAGACACTGGGCCAAGAGGAAGAACAGCCTATCTGCCCCAGTTCTATAGAAAGCTAGAGATGGAGTCCTGGTTTATCACACTGGCACTGAGCTTCACAGAGTTTCACATGTGTATAAATTCCCAGTTACTAGGGACGGGATGGGAGCAAATGTAGCTATCATGAAGGGCACACGTAAGAGGAATATCAAGAAGGAATTATAGACATCAATTCCATGCATAGGTATTTTACATGCGCACATGTGCACACACAAGTTAATAATGAAGCTGGCGTGCTAAGGGCTTTACAGTCTTCATAACACTGCATGCTTTCAGGATAAAGTCCAAACTCCCAGTGTAGCTCACAATGGCCTTCATGACCTGGGTCTGCCCACATCTCCAGCCTACCTGGCTGCTTAGCTCCTGAGGCACTGAGGTACTTGCAGTTCCTCCAGCTTCTGCCTCTACTGGGACCATCCACCTGACTAGTTCTGCCTCACCGTTCAGGTCCCAGCTCAGTTGTCGCTTCCCTTTGGAGGTCTACGTTGACATCACAAGCCACCACCAGTGAATCAGAGATGATGTCCCTTTTTGGGCTTCTGTAGGGTCCTCATCACAGGGCACTGCAATTGGTTGTTTCCTGTCACCCATCTGACTACCAGACTCCCCAAGAGGAAGTCTCAAGGAACTTCAACTGCCACTGTCCCCCAGTGCCCTGTACACAGCCCAGCACACTCAATAAATAGCACTCAGTAAATATTTTTTAAGTGAATGAAATCCTTCACTTTGGGTTCTTGAAATTCTTTTACCAAAAACATAAGTTAAGCATAGTATAATTAATTTTTAACCATATTGAGATTTGAAAGAAGTCAACTGACTTTTTACTAAAATAGAAGGGAAATTCACCAGTGAGGCCTTCTTGGATGGAAGATACAAATGGTAGGTTTTCTTTTGAATGTATGGCACAACTCTAAATATAAAAACCAGCTCCATACTGAGATCGAGAATCTATGCATTATGAAGAAACAGACACATCATATTCCTTTTTTATAAATGTAAATGATATCTTTCTTTTTCTTTACAGAATATCGTGGGTTGGGGGCAGGGAGGATAGAGTTCTCAGTGGATTGGCTATATTTTGTTTATTGTAACGTGATAACGTTGGATGTGTATACATATGTGTATTGCAATATAAATTCATCATCTGATTTTTATGAAGAAGTTGATCGCTCAAAACATTTATTTTTAAAGACAGCTGCAGCCCTGACCTGAACATGGGATTTGACTAAAGTCCCAGTTATATCTCTGTCCTCCCGTGACCTTTAGCAGGACAGGTTTCTACACTGTGCTGGGTTCCCTGAAATCACAGAATGAGGCTGGTAAGGCCGGCACAGTGGGTCTAGTGAGGAGGCCAATCCAATGGGATCTGGAATCCATGGGCCTGATTCTGAGCCTGCTCTCCCATCTGTGATAGTGATCCAGTTCCTTAACCTCTCAGGATGCAATTCTTTCAAGGGTTTATTATTACTTTTTGGTGTTTTTTTTTTTTTTTTTTGGTCCATACTAGACCATAAGCTTCCTTTTTATTTTGAGACAGAGTCTTGCTCTGTTGCCCAGACTGGAGTGCAGTGGCACAATCTCTGTTCACTGAAACCTCCGCCTCCCAGGTTCAAGCGATTCTCCTGCCTCAGCCTCCCGAGTAGCTGGGATTGCAGGTGCTCACCACCATGCCCAGCTAATTTTTCTATTTTTAATAGAGATGCGGTTTCACCATGTTGGCCAGGCTGGTCTCCAACTCCTGACCTCAAGGGATCCACCCACTTTGGCTCCCCAAAGTGCTGGGATTACAGGCATGAGGCACCATGCCGACCATAAACTTCTTGAGGATGCATTCTCCTTGTTAATTATTTCAGTTTTACAAGAAGTAAAAATATTATTAATGATATGTCTATATGAAATTATTAAAAATATCCTTCATCAATGTCATAGTGCTAAGAACAGTGTATAGAATACAATCCATTGGACTGGGAGGATAGAGTGAATGAATGCACGACCAGAAACAAAATTCCTCTTTTCAAATTGTGAGTGACATTTTTCCACCGGGGAGCTCTTTAAAGGTAGAGACTGTGGCTATTTGTTATGAAATCCCCAGAGCCCTCAACACTGTTCTAGGATTCTTTCCTGTTGCCAGAAAACGATTTGATATATGAGTAGATAGTGAAATGTAATATTTAAATAAAATACTCTGAATTTTTTTCTCATTTATTGCTCTAAGGTAGGAAATGTAGAAAATCAGGTCCCAGCACCCGGTGAAACCCCATCTCTACTAAAAAATACAAAAAACTAGCCGGGCGAGGTGGCGGGTGCCTGTAGTCCCAGCTACTCGGGAGGCTGAGGCAGGAGAATGGCGTAAACCCGGGAGGCGGAGCTTGCAGTGAGCTGAGATCCGGCCACTGCACTCCAGCCTGGGCGACAGAGCGAGACTCTGTCTCAAAAAAAAAAAAAAAGAAAATCAGGTCCCAGCTCCCATGCTGAAAAAAATCTCTTTGAGAATCTTAGACTTTCTTATCTTTGTAGCTGGAATAGTTCTGACTTTTCAATTATGTAGTGGCCGGAAGACCCTAGCACCCAAACCATAGCAGCGTGTGTGATGCATTTTTCTTTATGTCACAATCTTGATTGTTAGTGTGGAGTTCCTAAACTATGCCCAAGAGCAGCCAAGGGGGCAGTTCTTTTTGAGGCCTTTTGTCAATAAGGGCCTAGTAAAAAGAATCATTCTCATAATTTTATCCATTTATTCAACAGATGTTCATTAAATGCCCCTCTGTGCCTGGCCTCTGTGCCCAGCCTCTGTGCCCACGAATATCACAGCTCTCAAGAATGCCTGGGCCTGTGTTTGGACCCATTCGTACATTCCCTTGCATAAACGTTGGAACAATCAAACGAAGTTTTCTTCTTGTCATTCTCTCTGTTTCATAGAGGAGGAAGCAGAGGCATTTAGAGGCCCTGCCCTCAGAGATAGTGTTGGGATTGAGACTGAACTCTTGATGTCTGTTTCCAAAGCCTCTTCCCTCTTCCTTCCTGTTTTTCTTACATCTCCGTATTTTAAAAAAATAGGATGAGAGGACAAAACTTCAAGGCTTATTTGTTTAAGAAGCATTCGTCATGTGTTGGGTGAAACTAGAAATGTAGTCACCAACTGGATGGCAAAGACTTTAACTGATCTAAAGTGTTAGAAACATACCTGCTTATCATCAACTATGTGGGAGGACTGGTCCCTAAAACCCACACCACCTCTGCCAGCTTTCTGAGTGATTTCCACATTCAGGTATCAGATTCATTCGTGACAACTTCTCATCATGGTCTCCCATGACAGTCCCCCTACTGAAGAGAGCCAGATGCCCCACAGAAGACAGAAAAGACCCAACTGAGACTCCAGAGGCACAGACATGGCGATGTGCAGTTGTATTCATTTACACTTTCTCTGATTCACATTCACAGCACACTCTATTAATTGCTGCGTCAAGTAGAGTTGGTTCTTGTTATCTGAGGCAGCTATCATCTATAAAGTTGCTTCGAACATTGAATTAGTGAATACTAAACTATCGCTCATACAGGCAATACAGGGTTAGAGTTCTCTGAGCCTCTGTTCCCAACGTTTTCCTCAACTGGTTAGTATATAACCTTGTTTCATGTGTGTTTCTGTTTAGATGTCGTATTTAGTAGATACTGTTGACTCATTAACAATGAACTCACGGCCAATAGTGCTATAATTCATGCCTGAGTGAAGCTTCTCTAACACACATATATTTTCTCTGTAAGGCACATCACAGCCTTTTTGCACTTAGAAACACTTGACAGCACTATACTTGGGGGCTATTTTAAACAGTGACATCATCAACAAAAAGCACAAAAATGCAAAAATTGGGGCATTAAATAGACCGCGAAAAGGACACTTGTTGACAGCAGGAGAGCTGAGACATGGAGGCAGAGCGTTGCCTTGATTGACCTCAGCTGGGAAGGTGTGGGAAGGATGACTCCAATTTTTTGCTGTTCCGTGCCTGTCTGAGAATGAATGAGAAAGCACCATGAGTACCGCTTT